TATATATATATATATATATATATATATATATATATATATATATATATTTATTCCTTTTTAATATTTCTAGGATACAAGTCAATTTTTCCCCCCAACAAATCACAGTTTATCCAGGACTCTCAGACTTCATGTATGTGACATATGAAATTCTAGGGGGAATGGGACAGCATGTGCACACACAAAACGTTTGACATTTTATTTTGATTGATGAATTTATTTATTGCTTATTTATGTATTTATTTTTTTAGGTTATGATTTTGTATTTATTTCTACTGTCATATTTTCTATGGATAGTTCTGAAGGGGCTTGTTCTGGTGACGAGCGGATATGTTCTTCACACACCTGCAGGGCTGTCATGAAGAGGAAATAAAGCACTGCTTTGTAAGCTTGCTGGCTCACGCTGTTTCTCTCTTCTGCCTATATGTAAGGAAACGAGACAGGTGGTGACCCCTGAGGAAAACCACAGGCCGCTACACACTGCCGCCGCATGCTCGCTAATCCCTCGCGTGTCACCCATCAGCCTGAGTGTCAACATGCACCACCCCACACCACTGCAATCTATGCAGTCACAGGCACCAGAGCACCAACACTGTGTGTTGAAATGTCTGCAGGATACTTCATGTTTTACATGGATGTTGTTCTGTAAATAAAAACTTCCTGTGTACATATAAATATTTTAATCATATGGCCTTGAATGAAAACAGCATTGTCGGCAGACAGAAATTGGGTCAAAAGTTCATAAGTAATATAAATAAGATCATGTTGTCATGGCAACAAGTCATGACACAATGAATTTTTTGAGGGAGACAACTGGACAATGCAAGGAGACTTGCATTCAGGGAGAATGTATATTGAAATTATATAAGTATCGTTCTTTATTTCCCTACTCCCGAAATTAATATTTCTGTAAAAACAACTATGACTGGTTATCAGTACAATGTATGACATGTTTGGACTGTACTGCTGAAATGCCAGGTAAAGTAACTTTAAACATTTCTTCACATAAGAACATACATTGAAAATGAGAATTGATTGATTTCAGCCAAAACGTTTGTAATGTCTGAAGAAAAAACAATCATTCTGAGTAGCTTCCATATTTCCCACATAAAACAAACATGAAACTGGAATGGCAGTTAGCGGAGAGCTGCGGATGAAGGGCGTAGGACATTTTCTCTGTTGTGCTTATTGGGTTTGTGTTTTCAGTGCTGGAGAGACACCCATTTTCATCTCATCTACACTTTCAGTGTTATTCTGACTTTTTAGCTATGAAGTGTTAGTAGAAGAAGCATCATACCTTTAGGAAAAAAATCTCAATTTGTGATTGGATGTTTTAAAAACCAAGGTCCATGCTTTATAGATAAATGCTATTCTTGCCTTAAGGTCAATACTTGTTCTCACCACACAAGTCTGTCAGTTGCCTGTGCTTGTACAGAGAATGTACAGAGGTAGGAAGTGATGTCATGAAACAGGCAAATGATGCATGCAAGGAGATAAGGAGGGGTTGGATTATTTGAAGTGAGAACAAAATATGTAAAATAAATAAATTTGCAACGAGTTGTGTGAGGTGCCAGCTTTGAAATTCTGTATTTCCATTGGCTGGTCTGCCGCATTTGACGCACTTCTTGACTGGCTGGTGAACCATGACTCATGGCTACTGGTGCAGCCTGGATGTTATAAAACCTTAGCGGCAGTTCGCCGTCAGCCCAGCAGACGATCCGATCCCACGGGGAAGGAGACAAGCAGAGCCAGCGAACAGCAGCAGCTATGCCGCAGGACACAAGGACTCATACAGACAGAGGTGAGTGGGCCCCTGCCCTTTGAGAAGAGGAGCTCTTTGACAGATTCCAGGACTCAGTCCGTAGACTGTTAAATATTACTGTAACATTAAATATCACTGTATTTTTTTTTTATTGAATCCATTATTGATTTTAGTGGGCTACACTTTTTTGTAGGAGTTATTGTATTAATCACAAAGAGCTCATAATGCACTGATAGATATATGCACAGTAATGTACACATAATATATCCAATGTAGTCATCAGCAACTAGAAGCGACACGGGAAAGCACTTAAGACAATTCCCTTTGATTATTATTTCAGCTGCAAGCCAACTATAACTATTTTTATAAGTTGTTAATCCAAGAGATTTAAAATGTATCTAAAGTTCTATTTTAAACCTCTGGGTCATCTTACCACCCAGTGAAATGCAATCATTTTTACGTTCTTAAAAAGTTTCAAAAACATAAACACATGCTATACTGCCACGTGTTCTGGTTTATTAACCTACATTCAGCATTTCACCTCCCAAGTAAGAAATGTACCATTATCTTACATCAGAAGATAATCTGCAGTGTTCACTAGATGGATATTCAGGAGTCCTTCTAAATACCTCTTAAAAATACATCTGCAAACAGTAATGCATGCATAACGAAGAATACCAACACCTTAAGTAAACAAGTCGAACAAGGCCAGGAAAAGCTACCGCAACCTCAGGTAGCAACAGGTAGAAGTAAAACAACTGAAATGTTTTCAGGAGGTACTGCGAACAGGTAAATTCTCCATAAGATGATGAAATTTAACTTAAATAATGACATTACGTTAATTGTGATTGAACAATTCGGACTAACAAGCAACATTCAGGTTTCATAATTGCAAAGAATTTATTTATTCAGTCAGAGTAATTCATACTGGCACACCTTAGCCTGGGGCCATTCTCATTTCCGCCGAGACCAAGGGAAAGAGTTCAGTACCTTTGATTATAGATAATGAATACTTTCCTACTGACTGCAAATGTATCCTAGTTTTTCTCTTGACAACGTGAAAAAATATGTTCAGGCTATTCGTTACTGAGTTCATAGCATAGTTTGCTAATTGCAGCGATGTTGGCACGTGTTCATGCTTGTTTTTGCACTTTTTATGCGCACAGCAGTATTGGCGCTGACAACCTTGGTGCTTGTCGCCTTTGTGGGAGCGGATGTAGAGCCTACTGGAACCACAACGCCCGGCGTGCTGCCTGACGGGTCCCATACACCTAATGGAACAGGTCCGTTTTACTGTGCATTCCAGTGTGTGTGCGACTGTCAATAAACTCTGTCAATGGCTCTCCTGAAAAGACAAAGGCTCAATCAGAATGTTTTCATTATGGATGGTTTGACAAAAACTTATTTTTGTCACTCTGACATCATAAAGTAAGATTCTCTCTGCTTTTCACTGTAAATAGTGTGTGGCAGACTTATGACTATCCTGTCAGGTTGTAGTTTGAGCTGAGCTAAAGGAAATCCCTCTTAATTACTAGGACGCATTTTCTACAGTCTTGTGGTCACTTCATAACACTCCTGCAAATTACGCCATGGCAAATGCAGACACACTAGGAGGTCTGGAGGGAGCTGCAAGAGCAGGGATAGGCTGGGCTGGACCTGCTGTGTTTATGACCCCCGCCACCACAAAGTGGGGCACTGCTCTCAGAAGCAGTGGCTGAGCGTGACTGCGCTCAATCTGCCCCTGAGATATTCGCACAGTTAAGAAAGCTCTGTGATTAGCGCAGCATCACTGACACATATCCTGTGGTGGAGAACTACATGCTCACTGTATTTACAGGTATAACCCCATGTTGTGCTCACACATTGCTGTCATTGCACTCGTTCGTGTGTTATGTTGTCAGTCCCACCAGATTTTCGTAAGCTTTCTATTACACACGAGAAGGTAGAGCTTATCACCTCAATAACCTTCACTTATCTGTTTACTTTGCAGTCACTAAAAGTTATTCATACAAAGTTAGGGAAATTACTTTGACTAAGTCACTAAACATTTGGGGGGATATTGTTTAGATGTCTTGGCCTTTTGACAAAATATATTTTGTCAAAATATTAGCTTAGACCTTTAAGTGTGGATCTCACCATCTCTTTTTATGCAGATGCTGATCTTTCCAATTAATTTCAATTTCAACTCAAGCGACTTGGGGTGGCATTGCCCCTGCTGCCCCCCCAAACTCCACCCATGCATATTTCACTACCACAAGTTAAACTATCTCTGTATTTCCCTCAAATCAAAGTTTGTAAGAGCCAAACCACCTATTTATATAGTAGAGCCTATGTAACTTTTCTTGTGTTCTTAGCACTGGAAACGACCTGCCTTGAGTTGTCACAGTAGTGTGTTTAACATGTCTGCTGTGTTGTTTGGCTACTTACACAGGAAGTGTGGAACTTCCCCGTGTCCTGAAGGTGATGAGTCCATGCACTGGTGAGAAGGAGAATTTCTGTGTGAATGGTGTCTGCAGCTATGACCCTGAGCTCAACACCCCCAGCTGCAGGTAAGAGCAGGCAGCAGTCCGATCTTAATGTATCCCAACTACATTCAATTACATCAAAGCACCAACCAGCTCGGAACTGTAGATTTACATGTTTGCCTTTGCATGTGCTGGTGGATCTATGAAAACCTATGTATGCAGTCAAATCACTCACTCCATAATGGTGCACATTCAAATTGCAAAATAATTTCCTCCACAAAACATGAAATTTGATTGACTGAGTTTACTATCAGTAAAGCTCAGAAGTGACCTACACTTTAGCCACATGCAAAACAACCTAACTACCATGATTCCATCTCAGAGCAAGATAAAAACTGAACAGTTAAGGTGAAAACCCACTGTAACATATTTCACATCAAGTTGAACAAACAAGTATGTCATGCACTGATTGGCGAAGTGACTAACACTTGTGGGCTTGGTTCCCAGGTGTCCGCCAAATTTCACAGGAGTGAGATGTCAACACATTCTGATGAACTCGCATAGCCAGAAAAACCCAGAGGCACTTATTGCCATCGGGGCTGGTGTTGCAGTGCTGCTCTGCTGCCTCGCTGGTGCCATCTACTGCTGCATGAAGAAAAGGTATGGGGCCAGGTTAATTTTAATCACTGAAGTGTGCTGTATGCATCAGACTACTACTGGGCAGTCCCGCCAGCTGTTTTTGTGTCGGTGAACCCTGTTTATTGAGGCACACTCCTGTGTGGCTATAAGTAAGATTATCCAAAGATATCTCCTTGCTTGTAGCAGCTGCTGAGAGGAAGCAAACCAGAGGGGTGTGTTACAAAGTGGGTTCACAGGATTAGCGAGGTTTCTTGAAGCTTCCAAATTTTGGGTATTACGTATCATTGCTCACTTTTTAAAGGGGTATATTGCCATGGTAACTTATGCTGCAAGCCTAACCTGCTCCAAGACATTTTAAGTGCTGGTTTTTGGCTTAAGTCCTACCCTTTCACCAAAAACCTGTATATATAAAGCTCCCATTCACCAAAATTGTACATGGGAACCACCCTTTCACTAAATAATTGGGATGGGTGATACCGCCGATATCCTTTTCAATCCAATACAAATAGATTAAAATGAAATGTTTTTATCCTGATACCTATATTTGGTACTGGTCCCTTTACGGCCCCTTGCCAGGGGATGGGATACTGACTATAAATTTTACAAAGCTGTATGGGTATTACCTACCTCCTACCTATTAAAGGCCAACTTTTAGTTTGCATCATTATTCTACAAAGCTAACACAGTCCCTTTACTGCAAATGCACACAGACAACCCTGAGGCAACTTACCAAGTTGATAACCACTGTCCTAGTACCATTCAACGCTGATTGCGGCAATTATGGTCTGTTGACCCACTTCTAGCAAATTAACTCTGGATCTGTAAAACTGACAGCGCACCCCACAGATGTGGTCACACATAGCAGGAAACATAAAAATTTGTTGCCACCCCCAATAACCCACTGATGTGATTTTTTCAGGTGCAAAAATACAAATCAGCCATATCAAATTTGTCGACCTGAACGTGCAGTCTGAACTTCAAGACCCAAGGGGCACAGAGGAAGACATTGTGGATTCCTCTCCATCACAGTTTTCATACATTACAAGCAGTTTTAACAACAATCCTTGGATCCATGTTTTTTGGGGGCTAATTTACCTAATGCACATTAGCAAGCCTTATCTCAGTCTATGATAATCCAACCAATTTCAGCGAAGCATATTGTAACAGTACATTTGCTGTAATATTTATGATTTGACTTGTTTCACATGGCCTGATTTCATACCTACATAGCCTGGCATTTCCTATGTTATATCAGTGTGTCATTCTTTCTTTTGTTTACAGAAAAATGTTTTACGGATGAAAAAGGGCTTAGGAACTAGAAAAAATAACAAGCTAAATCAGGAAGCAATATTTAAGCATCTTCCGACAATATGAGACTAAATGGTTGATCCATGCATGAAGTTTACCATCCATAATCTTCATCATTATAGTTCATCATCATTCTGACACCTTCATCATCCTCTTTTCCAAAGGTTGAGCTTAGGTTCAGGCATTTGGTTTATGATCATAAAGAAATAATTACCATGTAAATAAAAGCAAATCTATGTGAGGATATTTATTTTAAATTTATAATTTATTAAGGTATGTGTAAAATATATATTTAGCAATTTTTCTAATAAATTTTCTCAAAATGAAAAACGAATTGTGTTTTCATTTAATGGTGTTGTTCTGTTGTTATCCACAAGAGGCTGCTCAAAACCACTCAGAAAAAATCAAAATGTCTAATGCTGGCAATCAGAACTCAAAAAATGGACCAATGAGTTTCTAAGAGTTTTACCATGTAGTATTTCAAAAATGTTATTCTCATGCTGTGACCCAGACTCTTACATCTTACTTGGCTTTTTAGTAAGAAACCTGCTTTGCCACAGAAATCCAGGGCTTATATTTCAGATACAAAGCCAGACTAGCTTCATTCACCAACCTTTTTTTGGGCTCATGGTGTAAGAAAGTTGCACTTTTTTCCTTTAGGTGTTGCACTGTTTGCCACCTTCCATTTTCTTGTCTCTAATACCAGTTCAGCAATAATGCATCATATTTTAGTAAAAAAATACAACAGCTTTACCTAGAACAAACTACAAATCTATTTTCATAAGTAGTGAATGACAAAATGCAAATGCCAGTACCCCTGTTCAGTATGGATGCTGATCAAGCCAATTTGACAAAATACTGCTGGAAAATGTTCACATAATTCAGTTGTGAAGCACTATGAGACATTTCCAGATATCCAATGCAAATGATTACTGTTATGTGTTGTTACATGAAACTAAACATCACATATATTTTATCAAGAAAAAAATAATTTAGAGAAAACAATATTCATCCCTTCCAAGATGTTAAACACGTCTTACTCTGTACTCCTTGGGACTCCAAGCTTACTACCAAGACACAGGGAGAACATGCAAATTTCATACACACAGAGCTAGGACAGAGACTTGAACCCTGGCCACAGAGCTGTGAGGCAACAGCGCTAACCACTGTGCCAAAATAACTGAATATAAAATACTATTACCATCATTACTAATAATAATGAATGTAAAAATGTTTAAATGTAATGTAAATATGTGCTGTGCCTGAGCAGTATCCTCTCCAGAGCTCACTGAGCCACGCCACTCTCTCTCCCTATCTCTCCTCCCTGTACCACAGCCTCCAGTGAAAGACCTGACACCCCTCTCCCACCTGTCACTTTCACTTATGACCAGGTTCACAGACAAATGAGAAGCCTCCACTTAGGCAAGTCTGCAGGACCAGACGGGGTGAGTCCCCGTGTCCTCAAGGCCTGTGCCCTCTAGCTTTGTGGAGTCTTTCACAAACTCTTCATGATGAGCCTGAGGCTGCAGAGTCCCAGTGCTGTGGAAGACATCATGCCTCGTTCCTGTACCAGTGGCCCCCAAGACCTGTGGCACTGACTTCTCATGTCATAAAGACCCTGGAAAGACGCATCCTCGACCAGCTCCGTCCTATGGTCAGACCACATCTGGATCCCCTTCAATTTGCTTACCAGCCCTGCCTTGGAGCTGAAGACGCCATCATCTACCTGCTCAATCGTGTCTACACCCATCTGGACCAGCCAGCGAAGACTGTAAGGGTCACATTCTTTGACTTTTCCAGTGCATTCAATACCATCATGCCAACTCTCCTTGGTGAGAAGCTGATAGCGATGCAGGTGGATGCTTCTCTAGTGTCCTGGATTGTGGACTACCTGACATAAAGACCACAATATGTGCATCTTAAACGCTGTGTGTCTAACGTGGTGCTCAGCTACACCGGGGCACCACGAGGGACCGTCCTCTCTCCCTTCCTATTCACCCTCTACACCACGGACAGCCACTGCACAGAAACCTGCCATCTTCAGAAGTTTTCTGATGATTATGCGGTAGTTGGTGTAATGAGTGATGAGTATTACAGTTCCCAGGATGCTTTGTAAGGGTCAGAGGGATATACATAAATAAATGTGTAACCTGCATGTGTGAAGTAGAGCGGTCTCTGTGTCTCATTAATACATAACAATACATGGTGTCAGAATGAGGTCTATTGCTGAAGTACAGTGCAAGTGTTCATGAAACTCGCGCTTCATTTGCATAGCAAAAAAAAAAAAAAAAACGTGGAGTAGGGTGCGAGTTACAAAGGCTTACGCTTGTCTTTTGTTTTTTTTCCACTGGGAGGGAAATAGAGAAAAATGGCTTTAGCAGCAGTGCAAATGGCTCTTCCAGTGTCTTTCGATTTTTCCAAACCAGCTGAATGCCCACGTTTTTTTTTTTGTGTGTCCTGTCCGGCAGCTTTAGCAAGCTGAATAATGGTCTGAATGCACTGCTGTGCCAAACATATTTGCTTTACCATGAGGAGCTCTACAAACTCTGTATAGGCCCCTCATGTTGGTCAATTCCTTTTTATTTGTTTATTTATTGTATTTTATTTTTAACACATGTAAAATATTGCAGTTGCCGAGCTGCCCAGAAGGCAGTGATATATTAGGAGGAAAATGAGTGGAGAAAAGGGGTATGGAGAGAGATTAAAAAGAAGGAAAGAAAAGAAGAAAAAAACAAAAACAAAGGGGGAGACAACAGTGGGAGAGAGAGGCTAAGAAAGACAGGAGTAACGTAAAAAGCACAATATCAAGGCAAAAAAAAAAGCAGCATTTAAAATACAACCAAAAATGGATAAATATAAAGACACAACCAGAAATTAAGAAAATAAAACAGATATACAGACATACAGAATTATTGCGTGTGCTTGGAAGTGAGCGTGTAATTCTATTTGCATGTGTGTTCATCTGTGTGGGGGAGATGTGTGAATACGTGTGTGTGTGAATTTCTCCATGGAATGTACTTGATAGCGAGGGTGGGGGGCCACAACCACACCCCACAAGAGCCAGAGGCCGGCGGAGACAGGCCGGCAGAGACCCAAGGCGTCCGCAGCCCCCCAAGTGCACGGAAGAGCCAAGGCCCCACGTTCCCATGACAGCCGCATCCCCACCACAGCAGGAGGAGGAGGGAGGTCCCAGGCGCAGCCCCCGCAGCCAAAAGGGCATGAGCCCTAGAGAACCACAGGCAACAGGCAGCCGCTCCCGCGAGGGGATGGCCACTCCCGCACGGGCCCAGGCCTGGGCCCCAGGACCCCAGGCGGCTGGGAGCCGACCGGCCCCGGCAGAGAGCCCCCGGAGAGGCCCGAGCCCCCCCCAGGTCACCACCCCAAGGAGGGGGGCCAGCAAACATGCCAAGGAAGCAGCCGCGCCCAGGAAGGAGCACCGCCCACACAGACACCTCACAAACACACCTCTCAGCCTACATATAGACCATACACCCACTCACACATACACAGAGACAAAAAGACATAAGCCCATCCACTCCGGACCACCCTCCAACTTGCGGGGGAACGGATGCCACCCCCAGCACCAGCCGCAACCCCAGGGCGCCGTCAGCTGAACGACTATCCGAGTTGCCCCCCCACCATCACGGGCAGGGAGCAGGGGTGTAAGAAGACCCGCCTCCTCTCCTCCCCCACACACCTGTGTGAGAGGTGGAGTGTTGGATGCATTTGTTGGTGCATGTGAGTGTATGTGGTGTAAGGGATGAGTATGACTGTTGAGAAACTTAAGATGGATTTAAAATTGACAGGGGAAGCGTCGAGGAGCGCTGCTTGCGAACAGCTCTCCTCCCCATTACCCCCCCCCCACCAAGATCCTCAATGTATATGGCATGAGTAAAATTGAGAGGCGGGCAGCAGTGAAGAGGTGAGTGAGACCACCTCAGTAGTGCCCCCACCCCGCAAGGCCGTATGTGTATACTGATATGTGATGACTAAAGTGCAATTAAAACAAGGGGAGGCAGAGGGCCGCGCAGCACAGTGAGTAAGGCCATGTGAATGGCCCCCCTCACCGCAGCGTGCGCAGCACATTCCCACCCCGAGATCCTACATGTGTGCGTGGCATGTTATGTGAGTGAGGGGGGAGAGGGGCTGGGATTTATAATACCAGGGGGGAGATTACTACCCCCCGGCAGAAGAGAGCCAGCTAACCAGCTGCCTCAGTAGGCACCCCAGCCCCCTACTGTTGCATGGGAAGGAGCAGACCCAGGCCCCCGGCGACAACACCCACTCAGTCACCCACTCATTCGACGACAAAAAAGTGGCAGACCAGCCCGGGCTCGAGACATGCCACCCCCCAAACAGCGCAGGCTGGACTCCTAGACACGGACCGACCCACCCCCCTCCGGCAGTGTCCCGGAGGGAGCACAGGCCACCCCCGCGCAGGAAGGTACCCACCGTGGAAACGTCCAGGCCCCGGTCACCAGAGCCCCAGACCCCCCACCCAAGCCCGCACCGAAGAGGCCAACCACCCATCCCAGGGCCAGCCCCTGCCACCACCAGCACCCCAGACCCCACGCCCCATGACTGCCAGGCAGCACCCGCCCAAGCCCTCCCCCGCACCACCACCAGCCAGGGCAGACACCCAGACATCACAAGACGGCAGCCACAGCCCTCCAGCTCCAAGAAGCCACTAGCCGCCCATAGCCCAGGGGCCGAACCCCACCACCCGCCAGAATCTCGAGGAGACGAGACCACAGCCGACCACCCCCCCTACATAATGGAATTGGTCTTAGTGGACCAGAGAGAATCCAATTCGCCCAATTGATTTTTTTGAAGGGAATCAGACATTCTCTCCAGACTTACAGATCTGGCCATTCAAATTGCGCGCGGGAAGGAAAGTGATCTCACGTGACACCGCAGTATTTCCCGTGAACACAGAAAATGCATTGACACAGGAAAGACATGATCAGTAGGGGGCAGTCATGTAACGCACTGAACTGAAGC